AAAAGGGCTTCGAGGGCAGCTGTAGGTTTTCACGCTCTTTCAAACAAAAAAAATTTTAAAATACATTGAATGAACCAGGAAGGAGAAATTTGGGATGCGCTTTTGAGAAAGTGGAAACTGAGAAAAAACAGAAAACATTTTTTGATTTTTCAAAAAACAGCTGTTTTTTCGAATAGGGGGTGACGAAAATCTTCGAAAATTTTGGACAAAAAGGAGGTATCGAGAAAAACTTTTTTATCAGTTATGAAAGAGCAGATCACGGGCTATCCTCCCACGTATTTATCTCAATTTCGATTTTTCTGACGAAAATTGACTTTTTTGAGGGGGGGGGGNACTCGAGCCCGTCCCTCCTCGTACGTTTCTGTTTTCTTCTCCTGATTGTTATGTTGTCCGTGGGTTTGCGGCGGGTGGGGGGGCGGGGGTGGGCTTAAGCCATTTTGAGTTGAGGCTATGTGCATCACAGGTGGACTCTAATGAGCTATGAATATCGTGAAAAGAGATCAGACTCTTAGCTGATTGCTGTAGAGATACTAAATTTTTAAGATATTTTTGTAATTCAATGTCGTGGATCGGATTTGGGCTTGAAATTTTGAAGCCTGATGGGCTTTAGTCATCTGAAAAATGTGTAGAGTGCACTAATCATCAAATACCGACTAGAAAATTTTCTTGAGAGTATTTATGTGCAGCTTGATCGAATTCAAAAATATTGAAAACAATGAGCTCTATATGCAGATCTTAATGATAAATAGTTTATTGTGAAAGTTTTAGGTCTTTTGTTTCCTTGTAAAATTTAAAATCCTAATTCGAAAAGCATTTTTCCTAGCGTTTCTGGAGGAAATTCCAGCATCCCATTGAAAAAAAACAACCTTAGAAATGTATTATAAGTTAAAGATCCGAAATCTGTTCAGGATATTCATAGCTCATGAAGATCTACATATTGCAGATAGTCTCGTCACAAGAGTAATGAATCAGTTTGAAGACTTTATTCGTAAGCTGAGATTTTTGAATGTTGATTGAGAAGACTAAATTAGAGATATATTTAGAAAACTTAAAGAATACTTTATAGAACACTATTTAATGTTAATTTAATCTTTGAGTTAGATCGAATAATCTACAACATAAAAGTTTGTGATTTATTCAATATATTTTGATGTGTTAGTTACCAATACCTGATATTTATCGTGGTAAATATCGTGATATTGATTATAATTATGATGAAGAAAAATTATGTCAGTTATATGTCGATGATGTTCGTCAAATTGTTGAAGAAATTGAATCACGTGGTCGTCGTATTGCAATATTTTTAATTGAATCATTACAATCATGTGGTGGACAAATTATTTATCCAAAAGGTTATCTTAAACATACATTTAAGTAAATAACTAAATTATTTAGCTGTTATTATTTTTTGTTTGAATATTCTTATTTCTTAAATTTAGTTATCTTCAATCAAAAGGTATTTTATGTCTTGTCGATGAAGTTCAAACAGGTTTTGGTCGATCTGGTACTCATTTTTGGGCATTTCAATCATATGAAGAAGGTTATTTATTAAAACAACTAGAATGTTTTTTTTTTATGAAACACGATCTTAAAGGATTATTGAAGTATAGAGGTAAAAAATTGAACCCTTACAGATCACGATGGATACTAGTCAGAGACTGTCACAGATCATAACAGGTGTTGATGTACAATCCTAGACTGTGTATCAATAACGTGTTGTTGTAACATATGAACTGCTTCTTTATTTCATTTCTGGAGAATTAGATAAATGGATGGTGAAGTTATATATGACAAAATAGATAGAGTAATACAATATCCTTGTAATTAGCAACATCGTGTTTCACGTTTTAATCCTGCATCACAATGTTTTTCTTATATGTTTTTGATTATGCAGATATTGTTCCTGATTTTGTTACAATGGGTAAATCTATGGGTAATGGATTTCCAGTTGCTGCTTTGGTGACACGTCGATGTATAACACAAAAATTTGATATGGATGGTATTGAATATTTTAATACCTATGGTGGTAATCCAGTTAGTTGTCGTGCAGCTATTGCTGTACTTGATATAATTGAAAGAGAAAAATTAATGGAAAATGCTCGAGATGTTGGTAGTTATTTATTAAATAAATTAAAAGAAATAGGCAAAAAATATTATATTATTGGTGATGTACGTGGTCGAGGATTTTTTCTTGGAGTTGAATTTGTACGTGATGCAAAAACACGTGAACCTGGTATTGAAGAAGCACATGAAATCAAATATAAGTAAGAAAAATTCAATATTAATATTGTTATTTAATATTGATATGTCTAGACTTCGTGAACACATGATTATTGTTTCACTTGATGGACCTGATCATAATGTTCTTAAATTTAAATCGTAAGATATATCTTCTTTTTTTTTTTTATATGATTAAAATTTTTTGTAATTAATTCCTTTTTGTATAGGCCAATGTGTTTTTCAAAAGCTGATGCGGATTTTCTTTGTGGCAAATTGGAAACACTTGTTAGAGAATGTCAAAATAAGAGAGATGAAAAACAAGAAACAATTATGTAGAAAGAATACGAAAAAGAATGAAAATTTTTCAACATATATATCACATTTTTTTCCTCTCAGTATGTTGTATTACTTTATACCTTGGAGCTTATTATTGTAACAGATTGAGAATTTAATTAAGTATATGAATGAAGTTTATTTTTGATGTACATATTAAATCGAAATTTGGTGGTGTTGTTTTTCATAGTAAAAAAAAAAATAAAAGGGGTAGTTATGGGATTTTGAATTATTGTATTGTTAAAATGCTACTTAATTTTAGATCCAAACGTTAAAAAAAGTATCCTTCAGGACGAACACTCTGTCTTAATCTAATTGATACAACATATTTCTATTGAGAACTATTTATCATCTTACATTTCTAGGACAAATATAATAACATACGCGAAGGTTAGTAGTATCATTCTCCCTAGGGTTAATATAATTACATATTCTATTATGTACATTTCTATGCATGTATATAACCAATACAGTGTATAGATGATGACTCAATATGAGATCAACGGACAAATATACATACACAAGGGAGGATATGACAGTTGTATTAAGTAGATGTCTTTTCTTATCAACATCGATATCAGTCTAAATAGACAGATCGGATTGGTTTATTGTCATGAGTTATTCTTCACTATTTTACTCTATAATAGTCAAATAAACCTCTCGATTTATCATATCTGTCAGTAATGACGTAAGTATCTTCTGTCACGCTGATGACGTTTTACACTATTTATCCCTATAAGTTTCATTTCGTATTTATTGATGAATAGAAACCTTCATGACGTTACAGATATCTTAATTAGTTATTAATACGATTGAAATGTTTGTCGAACATAGACTTTATTAATTAATTGTATATAAACTATATTTGCTTGGCTATTTTTGTTTTATTATCTCACATGTCTCTGCGGAATGTATGTATGCATGTATGTTATGAATGATACGCAATAGAAATGAATCTAGGACAAATTATAAATTACAACGCTTAATAGTTATTCGACTTTATCTCCATCGAATATCTTGATATCAAAGTGAGTTAATAGAATAGAAATTTGATTTCTAAAAACAACATGCAAGAACTTTGAAAGTTTAACCCAATCGATAAGGAATCCTCCAACGGACTATCCTATGCACCGTTACTGATTATCATTGCAGTATATACTAAAAAAAGTGTCCGATAATTAAATAATCAAACCTTTTATAAACAATCACAATAACCATTTATTCATCTCTCGAAAAACAATATGACTACGAATTTTATCCCAGTAGATATATACAATTTATCGGAACATATGAATTAGTATAATTTTCCAAAAATTAAACTGAAATGTTAGAATCTTCAAAAATTCATATAATTCGTTGAAAACATATCAGCAGAGAACATCTATGCGTGTGTTAGGACGATTCAATATACGGATGTGAATAAAGAAAAAAAAACACTTGTCAACACAACCCTTTTTGAGCATAAATGTGAAAGTTATATTTGTTCTTTAGCCTTACTATACTAATATAAAATACGTTAAGTGAAAAGTCTCTAATAAACTAGTTGTTTTCTAAAGATAATCGATCACCATGGAAACGATCTGTCTTATTTATTTCTGCATTTCGAATAAAAAATTCTTTCTTTTAATGAAACACGATTTACAAGAAGTGTCGAAATCTATAAAGTAGAAATTCGCATGCACCATCCGCTCTTCTCCCACAGACTGTGGCAAACGTTGTTCATATGCGCGATCAGAGAACGTATATTAATAATAGCTCGTTACAATGTATTAACAACTTCCTTATTGTACTAGTAGCATACGAAATATAGAAAATATTGTGTGCGAGTATTGTCACGTGTGTCTATCCAATATCTCCTATGCTAGTACTTAATTGAGTCTCCTGATATAGCCTTGAAACACATCATATGTTCAACGCCTTGTGTCGTTGTTAAGAAACTCTACTAAAGAGTTAGTGTGTCGGCTGCTGTGGAAGCGTAGCCAATGATCGTTGGTCTTTCTTTCTTATTCGGGTGTTAGGGTCTAGAGAGGAAGAAGCTGAGAAAGCTTTGTTTTAAACTTATACTCACTATGTTCCACAAAAAGACAACAAATAGAATCGTATTTAATCATAAGAAGCAGAGAATATAAAAACTCATCATACAATTTCCAAACAAACTGCAAGTAAATTATAACAGATGTCTATCTTGATAATAAATATTTTCTATTGAATATTTACTTTACACAAGCTATCCATTTGAAGTCTAGTAACCAATTAATTAAGTCGGCTGACTGCACGAAGTGCAGGCAGAGCCGACTTAAGCCGTGTCTCCACTAGAAAAATAATACGGTATTAACTTCGTATTAAAATCATGCGTGTATACACTTGGAAAGTTAATGCATCAATCAGAATCTAGAAAAAAATGTCGCTTTCATTAATTCAATTGGAGCACATGAACCTAATGAGGCTTTGATTGGTGCATTAACTTTAATTCGTTTTCGAAAGCGCATTAAATTTAATGCGCTTTTGAAAGTGCATTAAATGCGAATTAAATTTTCCACCAATCAAGTTTCTTAATTCGGTATTAAATTTTCTGGTGGAGACAAGGCCTTACTGCTTTTCACTCACTTAGTTGCCATGGCAAATTCTTCTTCTTCTTCTTCTCGACGCATGAGTCACGATTCAAGTCAGTCACTCGTTCTCAGCTCCTGATTATTATTTTTAGCCGAAAAAAAGTTTGACAAAATTCTGAGAACGTGACGAGTGCACATCTGAAATCCGTTTTTCAAAATTCAGCAGCGTTCCGAAGATATAGGAATACCGAAAATCAATAATTAACAGCTGATAATTTCCTTATATGGGTATGCATGATTCAATCTTAGATGACCATTCACATCTAGGATGATAAGTGCATATATATTTTAATTATCGCCTTATGTGACTGAAAGTCGTTCATGATAAAGTTTGAAACTTGTAGAGATCTTTTCAAATGGCGACTAAGCGATTGAAATAAATATACAGAAAAACGATAATTAACAGCTGATAGCTTCTTTAGATCACGATGAATGATTCAATCTTGAACCAACCATTCATATGTAAGACGTTCAATGCATGTATATTTTAATTAATTGTCGCCTTGTGCGATTTAAAATCGCATGCTATGAGGTCTCGAACGGCAGAGAAAAATTTTCGAATGGCTACCAAACAATGAGCAATCAATTTAAAAGAATTGAACATCTAGTCTGCAGTCAGTCGACATTCCATCCGACGCGCAGCGCTGAATGGTAGTCTGGTTTTTTTCTTCTTATTTGATCGCATGAAAATCCGATCGTTCGTTAGAAATTTTTCAGAAATATTGAATTCGTTTGCTTTTTTTTGTTATTATAAAAATTTTAGAACGAAAACTTCGCAAGTCTTGTTATTAACATTATTCGGTCTCATATTACGCAAATCAACCATTGATTCATCGTAATAAAACAGAAAAAGAAACATCTACGTGCTATTTATAATTCGGTTCTTATATACAGAACGATAAGTTTATAGTCAAGCGTGTTTTTTTTTCATTATTCTTTGGTATTTATTATATATGGGTAACATACAACAACATTGTCGAGGTGTAACTAATGATCTCCTTGAACTTGACCGTCCTGGAGCTATTTATTTACCCAACGATACTATTACTGGTAGTGTTTTGTATAATAGAAAAATGAATGCATCTATTTTATTAACTGGTGTTATTTATTTTAAAAAGCGTAAAAGAAATCATTTAAAAAAATGTCAAAGACAATTTTTTTCAACTGAATTTAATCTAAATTCATCGTCAAACATAAAACAAAATTTTCAATTACATTTAGATGAACACCTTCCACCATCATTTAATGATATATATACATATCCGAATATAACATATTCAATTAATCTTTTAATCTATAAAAAATCTAAGGATGAAATTTTGTCTTCGATGCCGATATGTGTTTGCCCTCATGTATATATTGATCGACCTTTACTTTTAACACCATTATTTTTTGGTCCAATAGAAAATCGTATATCAGGTGTTAAACTTGAAGTTAAAATTAATCGAACTATTTATACATTCGGTGATATAATACAAATTTTTTATGAAATTCAAAATCCAAATCAAGAATATATTTATAATATTCAAATAAGTTTAGGAATTTATTATGTTATTGAATCAAATGTTTCGCAAAAGGATTTATGTAATAGTACTGAGAATTTTACTAATATAGCATCAAATAAGAAATTAATAAGAAATAAAGCTTTAATAAATATCCCAAATGAAATATATTTACCGCCAACATTTAAATTTCAATATGGACCAGAAAATGATGCATCATCATTTAATTTAGAAATTGATTATAAAATACACTTTAAAGTTTATTTACAAAATATGGAAAATTTATGGCAAGTCGATGTGCCTATTATTATATGTAATGATACTATAGAACAAACCGAAAATGTCAAGGAAGACAATAGTAATAAAATGGACAGTGCTGAAGAAGAAAACAATAATAAAACCGAAATAATTTCACAATCTTTTAATGTAAATACTAATATTGTTGAAAATAAATAAATGTACTATAAATATTTTTAATAATAATAATAACATTATTAAACAGCTATTGAAATTTTTTCGTTGATCCCAGTAGCTCTATAGAAGATTCGAGAAAATTTTATCTATATATGAAATTATTAATAGTCCAAATACTGCTCTATAATTGTATAAGATTTCAACATTCTTCAGTTTCTACATTAAAGTCCGCACTGTACTATATTTTGTTTTTGACGCCCAGGCTCAACCACTCGGAACAGTTGCAAGATGGTGTGAATGTTTTCGTGAAGAACGCGAAGAGATTGAAGAAGAAAAATTCGTCAATTGTTCTATAAAGACTATTGTTAATAAGGCAATGGACTATTTGGTCTTGCCATATATTATTCGCAGCCACAGATCCGCTGGATTATGCTTTGTTTTCAACGACTTCTTGATCCTCACAAGACTATTTATACCATCTTTCAGCTTTTCTGAGTTGCCGAGCCTGACCACTGGAAACAAAATATAGTGCAATACTATAGAGAAGATTTATTTGAGCGTTTTATAACGTATCATAGTACTACTAGCATTTTTTTGTATGTTTCAAGTAGGATTTTGAACAATCCGATTTGTTTGAACAAGAAAATTATCTGAAATGATTGATTAATTTTCAACTTATAGTTTTGAACATATAGAGAATATTTCTTGATTAGAATCACCTGACCAAGATTCTAACATATCAACCTTCTTTGTAGTATAATAATAATTTCACAAGACTTTTACTATAGGGCAGAATATTGGCAGTAAAATAAATTGAAAAATTTTTGTTCAGAAATTTTGTGTTTGGATAGATTTTTTGAAATCGAATAAGATTTTGAATATTTCAAGAAAAAAACAATCGTTTTCATTCAAACTTTTAGGATATTCTTAGGATCATAAGACTCATTAACAGACGAACAAAAAACTTTGTTCGATTTCTCATCCAACACTCTATCTAATGATGAAAAAATTCAGCAAAATGATCGTAACTTTATAAAAAATGCTTGTCGACCGGAATCTATTTGGACTTATTCTTGTGTAGAGCTTATTTTCTAATATTCGAAATATGAATTCAACAAATGATGAATCACTTTGAGCAGTTTTTTCATTCGTTTCGATTTTTGCTCTCACGATCATCATAATAACTCGCTATTAACATTGTCAAAATCCTCATTCTTACCCTTTGACAATAACGTTTCGATAAACTATTTTGAAAAACATGACCAAACTCACATTATAATTACATTTTTTGTATTCATCACGTTATTTACTTTCAAGTAAAAATGAAAATTCATTAGTATCACAAAAAATAAATTTCATTGTCGAAAACTCTTTTTCTTTTTTGAAGACTGATTTTCTGTCAAGTTCACATATCATGAATCGGATGTTTTTTTGACATTCACAAACACTTGTGCTTACCGAAATGTTATTTGTAAAATATCTTTTATAAGTAACAATGAAAATAACTACAGATGCCTGTATAATATTCATCTTGAATTCGATCTTATTCTGCAGTGTTCACAGGTTTTACAGAGATAAACCTTATATATCGATATAAAATTATTTTCTTTTTACTTTCTATTTACTAAATATGTATATCCGAGCAAAAGTTTATTTTATCATTGCTGATTATTCATTGAAAGAAGACTACCAAACCGATGACAAGTCTTAGATTTTGGTAAATGGACGTAATTATAGTCATAAAATGTCGTAGAGATCGTACCAGTTCATTTGAGAATGTTTTCTGTTTACAAAAATAGACAAATAGTTCAAAAGGAGGAGTACCTCCAAACACTAAAAAATCGTTATTAGTAATTCACAAAAGAATAAAAAACTGTATATTTCTATTTTTTAACTTAAAAACTACTTAATATTGTATATGAAAAAAATATTAAAACTTTCTTTCTCTCTCTCTATCTCATTTCTAATCGAAATCGATATAGTTTTCTGTTTGGATCAGATTCTATTGATTATATAGATGTCTCCCTAACAGAATACTTTTTATCTCTATAGAAAATTTGATCAATATGATAATTTTTATCCTTGATTTATGTGAAAACAAGTCATAAGAATACGCAAATCGAAAATTTCCCACTGACAAATATCTCAAATTCTGATTGGTTTAAAAGAAAATATCATGTATACAAAATCAGATATTTTTCCAAGCTTAAAGTCGGTAAGAACTATTTAATTTATATTCGTTTATGAATACATTAATTCTTTTATAATATAAAAGTCGATTTTAAAAAAGCTAATTAAATATTCTATTCGTTTCATACATCATTGACATCGACATTTAATTCAATAGATAAAATTTTGTAATTTTACAGTTGAACGAAAAATCGTTTAGGTTTTTTCCTACCTTTTTTTTTTAATCAAAATTTTTCATCAGTTATGATGATTCATAAATTTGAAATTTCAAAAAACAAGATTTTTTTTCTATCATGAAAATAAAATTTTTCTTTTTCTTTGTTTTCAAAAGTGTCAATTAACATTNTTTGGATCAGATTCTATTGATTATATAGATGTCTCCCTAACAGAATACTTTTTATCTCTATAGAAAATTTGATCAATATGATAATTTTTATCATTGATTTATGTGAAAACAAGTCATAAGGATACGCAAATCGAAAATTTCCCACTGAGAAATATCTCAAATTCTGATTGGTTTAAAAGAAAATATCATGTATACAAAATCAGATATTTTTCCAAGCTTAAAGTCAGTAAGAACTATTTAATTTATATTCGTTTATCAATACATTAATTCTTTTATAATATAAAAGTCGATTTTAAAAAAGCTAATTAAATATTCTATTCGTTTCATACATCATTGACATTGACATATAATTCAATAGATAAAATTTTGTAATTTTATAGTTGAACGAAAAATCGTTTAGGTTTTTTCCTACCTTTTTTTTTTTTAATCAAAGCTTTTCATCAGTTATGATGAGATTCATAAATTTGAAATTTCAAAAAACAAGATTTTTTTTTCTATCATGAAAATAAAATTTTTCTTTTTCTTTTTTTTGAAAAGTGTCAATTAACATTGCGGGGAAAAAACCAAGCATGCTTCCTTTTTTTTTTTTCTTCTTTCTGCGTCATTTTGATCGCATTAACTTGATAAACTCGATGTTTTTTTGTATTATTTATAGTTGAAAAATTTTATCTATGATAATTATAATCTATTCATATTGAATTAAAAGAAAAAAAATTCTTCTTTTAATTCAGATTGTGATTTACAACAACAAAAAATGGTTTGAGAAAAAAGTTATTTTTATATTATACATAATTAAGTTTTGATTGCGATGACATCAGCTACAACAACAACATCTTCAGCATTACATGATAGTAATTTGGAAACATTTTCACTCGTTTGGCTTGATAGTTCAGTAAATGATTCACAAGAAAATCTTCATACTCAACAACAATTACGAACAATAATTAATCATTTACGAATATTTGATAATAGTCATAATTGTGAAAATTATATTCGATCTGTATCAAATCATGATCGTATTGTTATCATTGCCAGTGGTGTATCAGGCCGATTATTAGTACCACGTATACATAATCTTCGACAAGTTTGCTCAATCTATGTTTATTGTATGGATAGAAAAACAAATGCACAATGGACTAAAAAATTCACTAAAGTAATTATGCACACAAAAAAAAGCAAATCTCATTTTGAAAATTAACTTCGAAAATCGCCAGAGATAGGATCAAATCTCTATTCTATTCCGAAGCAATCAGTTGAAAGTTCGAGAGGACCCGATCGATCTTCGAAGGAGCGCCACCGTCTCAGCCTTCATGCTAAATTCTATCTCTAGAAATTATTCATAATCTCAATTCAACAAAATAAGAAAATAAAATTTTTCTGCATTTTGATTAGAAGATTTGTTTAACATTGATCAAGAAGGTTTAGTCGTTTGGTTTTTCAAACTTATGGAAATTATGTTATGGATGGAAGAGTGCTTAGAGATGTGTAGAATAATCTTTTTTTCATACTCTGTGTCCTAGCTGAAAACAATTCTCTAACCGTTATCTTATACTGCCTTGCGAATCTCTAACAGTGTTTTTTAAACTAGTTAGTCTTGGTCAAAATATACGACAAGAACAGTTCAAAAAAAGCTTTTTAGAATAAAATATGACTTCCAAGTTGATATATGAAAGTTGTTTGATACTTAGAAAATGCGTGATTGTATCAGATATCTTAATGAATAAAAGTATTGCTGCTTTGTTTTTATGAAAAAAAAATTCTTCTAAAAAATGAATTTATAAATCCTTTTTTCCACTAATACAGTTGAAGATACAAAAAATGGAAAGTATTAATCATTCAGTGGTAATCTTTTAAATGCTTGAATCTGATTACATCGACAATAATAAGAGCAAAGAAATACAATTGCTTCCTAGCAACTTGAAAACTTATGAATCATGATTTGGTAGTTATGAAAGTTAATCAGAGTGTAAAATTTAAGCACAGGAATATGCATAATTCGTTCTTATAAAGTGAAAATGACTTTCTTCAATGTCAGATTTTTTGATTGATTTGAGAGGAAAAAATCAAAGAACACAGTGACAAGATACTTTTAGCATAAATTATACGAATTCATTATTCGTCGACTTCGATCTTGTATACTTTCGGCAAGAAGAAAATGAAAAAGTACAATAATAAGATCGTAATTATGACTATTTCTATGTAGGTTTCAGTAGCGAATATAGAGAAAAATAACTGTTGTTCGTTTTTCTCAACAGAAAAGTCAAAAAAAAATGAGTCGATATTACTTCTAATGAATTTCAAAACATGTTTTTTGTTATTACTGAAATCGTTTCCATTGACGAAAATTCTAAATGAGTCGCTTGTATTAAACATTATTTTCTTCTTTCTAATTCTTCATACATATACGTATATTTATCTATTATTTCATTCGCTCGAAAATTCATCTTCATTCTTTCATTTTTTACTCGTCTATCAAATTCTCAGACAGAAAAGTAATCTTTCAATGGTTTAGATTCAAGCTATTATTATTAAATCAGACGATTTACTAAATCAAATTCAACATGATCAGATAAAACGTATAAAAAAAAAAGATGATGAAGTTCTTCCAATAAATATATTTAACACAGATCAAGGTCAATCAACAACAGGACTTAATGGACAATTTGTACATTCACAATTATTAATTGATTGTTTACTTCGAATGAAACCAAGTGAATATGAACAAAAAGACCTTGTTTCTCTATGTAAAGAAGAATATAAAGGTAATCCACATGAATTATCAATAATAAATGATTTTGAAAAAAATTATACATCATTTCGTGCAATATGGTGGTATACAAGACAATCATTTCTATATCGATTATTAAATAAAGCTTTACGAGTACAAAATATTGATTTAATTTATTTATTTCGTTTTTTTATTCGTGATTTATATCGACAATTATTAGAATATCAATGTTCATCATCAATACGTGCTTATCGTGGTCAATTAATGTTTCATGATGAACTTCAATTATTAAAAAGTTCAATTGGAAAATATATATCAATAAATTCATTTTTTTCAACAAGTCTTAATCGTGATTTAGCTTTAGTTTTTTCTCGAGATTCAGATCAATGTGAAAAAGTTCTTTTTGAAATTAATGCTAATCCACAAATTAATGATGAAAAACCATTTGCTAATATAAGTACATTTAGTTATTATCCTGATGAATCAGAAGTATTATTTATGTTAGGATCAATATTTCGACTTGTTAAAGTCTATTGTAATGAGAATCATTTATGGATTATTCATATGACATTAGCAAGTGGAAATGATTATGATTTAAAACCAATACTTGAACATATGAAAAATCAACATAGTCAAGATAATACTGATCTTCTTTCGTTTGGTCATGTGTTACGTGATATGGGTAAATTTCGTGAAGCAGAAAATTATTATCGTCAATCACTTAATCTTGTACCAACGGATTCCCAAGAATTAGGTCGATGCTATCATGCACTTGGTATAATAGCTTATGAAAAAGGTGATTATGAATCGAGTTTAAATTGGCATAAAAATGCACTTGAAATTAAATTACGTTCATTAAAATCTGATGATCCACATTTAGCAAATAGTTATAATAGTATTGGAACAATCTATGAAAAAAAACAAGATTATACACGTGCACTTCAATCATTTCATAAATCATTAATTATTCTTCAACAAGCATTTGGTGATGATCATCCAAAAGTTGCTATATGTTTAAATAATATAGCTGGTATATATCAAACAGAAAAAAAATATAATGAAGCTTTAGAATATAATCAAAAAGCTTTAAATATAAGAGAAAAACATCTTCCAGCAGATCATCCAGATGTAGGTGCATCACATAGTAATATAGGAATAATATATCGATGTCTTGGTAATTATGACTTAGCATTAAAACATCATAATCAATCACTTGATATTCATCGAAAAACATTACCACCACAACATCCACAAATAGCATCAACACTTAATAATCTTGGTCTTGTTTATGAGGATAAAGGTGAATTACAACAAGCATTAAACAATTATGAAAAAGCTGTTTTTATATATCGTCGTGCATTACCGTCAACACATCCAAATATAATTAAAACTGAGCAATTTATTCAACGTGTTTTATCAAAAATTAAATAAAAAAAAAAAAATATTTATACTCGACATATCGATAGAAACAAAGTCAAAGATTATTGTTTGTGTATAATACCTTTTGATTCCGAATGATTTGTATATGTTTTTATATATTTTTGCAAACAAAAAATGTTACAGATTCAAGTCTCAAAGCTTATATACGTACTTAATCGAAGTATAATCATTGGTATTTGACATATTAATAGGATACGAATGTTCGATTTTTTAATGGCAACAGTGTTGCCAGCTACGGACGAATGATCTTTTCCAGAAACCTGCTTCGAAGTCAAGGTTGACTTCAACTTTTCTTCACCTTTATAAAGTCTTGAGGAGAACGTGAATCAAACCTTCAAAATACATCGTTTTATGCAATGAATATCAGATAATAAAACTCATCATGAAAGAAAAGAATTCGTAATATTCAACCTAATTTACTGGTAGGCCGGTCATTTATAGATCTCTGACCATGCCTAAAAAATGACTCACATGAAATCTCAATAACTTTCACCGTCCAATCTTGAAAGTTTTCGTTTTTCTCCAATAGAACTATAAACGGTAATCTTTCGATTTTTCTTGTTCAGGTACATCCATGACAAGTGTCGTTCCGCATCAATTGTTAACCTTGTACTTCTTAAGTCATGAGTCTCGTCTTTTCAATCTTGATAATATCCATATTTAAATGATAATGCCATTAAATTTCTAGTTAAAAATTTTACGAATACAAAAAAAGAAATAAAGAGATGTCGCTTATAAACTCATATTTCATTATTGAGGGTGAACAATTAAATACTGATTGGTTAAAAAATAAGCCAAAACTATTCATTAAACACGTGGCCCTAAAAAGAAACAAATAATTACTTTTCTTGTTGTTTGTAAAAAATAAAAACTTTCTTATTTTCATCTTCAGATTTTTATCAAAGCCAATTTAGATAATTCATTAATCACAATGAGTTTCTTATGGGATTGGTTTACCAGTATTTTAACAACACTTGGTATACGTCATCAATTTTAACCTTGAATATATACATATATCCTTTTGATTTTAAAATAGGTCTCCATAAAAAAAGTGGTAAACTTGTATTTCTCGGCCTCGATAATGCTGGAAAAGTAAAGCAATAAAAAAAAAAAACAAATCAATATTTCTTTTTTTTTTCTCTTGTCACCTATTAGACAACACTATTGCATATGCTTAAAGATGATCGACTTGCCCAACACGTACCGACATTACATCCAAGTATGATATTTAATATATATATGTTATAGTATGAATAATTTTGTTTGTATATAGCTTCGGAAGAATTAGTCATGGGTAATATGAAATTTACAACATTTGATTTAGGTGGTCATGCTCAAGGTAAAGATTTTTCTTTTTAATACGAAAAAAAAATAAACGAATATTTTTGTTGTTTTTTTTTTATTTCTAATTAAAGCTCGTCGTGTATGGAAAGATTATTTTCCAGCTGTTGATTCAATTGTCTTTCTTGTTGATGCAGTTGATCGAACACGTTTCGCTGAAGCAAAAGCTGAACTTGATGTTTGTATTTGTTTTTTTTTAATTTTTATATTTTAAAAATTATTATTTTGTTTATTTAGAGCTTATTAACAGATGAACAAGTAGCTAATGCACCTATTGTTGTACTTGGAAATAAAATTGATTTACCAGGAGCTTGTAGTGAACAAGAACTTCGTTATGTACTTGGTATTTCTACAGCTACAACAGGCAAAGGAAATGTTACTCGTTCGGATATATCTGGTCGTCCAATGGAATTATTTATGTGCAGTGTACTAAGACGTGAAGGTTATGGTGAAGCATTTCGATGGCTTTCACAATATCTATAGGCATACAACTAAGTTGATATTAATATCCTTTTTTTTTTCTTCTTTCTTTTTTCTTGTCTTCAATGCTTTTTCTTCCTGATCTTTATATACTCGCTCTGTCTTTTGTTTTCTTGTCTGATTTATTAAGATGTTCATGTCAAAATTGGGCGCAGTTGAGTTAAATATAAACATCCAAAAAACGTACAGTTTTCTTTTGTCTTTTTATGCTTCTTTTTTTTCCTTGTCATCTTACAGTCTTGTTTTTTTTTTTTTGTATAAAAGAAGAAAAAAAAAAGGAAAAATAAATGTATTGGAGAATACCGTTATTTATCAACGAATTTTCATTCTCGTATTATTCCAAAACTAATGAATAAATTAATAAAGTGGAAATAATCTGTTTTGGCATTAAATATATGTTGAATTGGAGGACTTTTTCTGTTTTATTATTTATAGGATGTCAAGAAATATGTAAATATCTTTACTATATTTTTGTCTTAATGTGCTAATATTTTTTTTTACTTACTGATAAAGAACTATGCATAAGATAAGCATTATAAAAAATTGTTTTGAAGTATTTATCACTGACTACAACAAAGAGTTCTAATCTTTCACGTGTTATGAAAAAACAATATTGCAGTTGTATTAACGAATTCTAATGATTTCAAGCTAAAAGTTTCAATATTTAGTGAGTAGCAAAACATACGTCTATAGTATAAATATGAAACTGAATGACATCTCGTATGAAGAATTTATCGAAAAAGTTAAATATCATTTCTTCTTAACTAAGCAAATCATTTTTTTTTTATAACTCGTGAAAATTTAAGACATAAGAGAAATCGAACAAGGTTCATATCACTGCTGGAGAAAATAACTATTTACCAATATAACATAATATTCAATTATTTCAACATCATATTCAGTTGATTTTCTATTTGAAATGGCTCTTCAAAATTTCGCGAACAATTATGTGAAAAAAAAAGGAAAATATTCATAGCCTGTATCTGTCCAAACCCAAGAAAACAGAAAAAAATCGATATCTTTTCGTCACTGTTTTCTGTAAGATCGTAAAACAGTGAAGATAGTAGAAGAAACGATAAATACTCACTAACAAAAACATGGACTGATGGATTAAAGTGAAAATTAATACAGTAAAACGACACTGTATAGTTGCTTAAAGGTAAATATGAAACCAAGACTATTTTGAAAGATGTAGGTGAAAAATGTCATTATTGCACGATCACCAACGGCTTCTGAAGTGGGTGCATGTGACCAAACAGAAGACATATCTGTACTCTTAATTTCAGATTAGTATAAAAGAATAAATTTTCATATTTATCGAAATTGATCCATTTTATGGAAGCAGGCGAACAACATCTGATCTTCCTAATGATTTGCCTTTTATTGCAACAAAACTATGATTGTACAATAAGAACATTATTTAATATTGATAAACTAATATTTCAAAATATTTCTGTTTCTTTTTCAATAATAATAAACATTCGGTTTGACTTTATTTTGTTACAACATGATGAAAATATTTACATATTTGTTAGTTTAGTTACTTTCTAAAGAGTCTATAGTAAAGTTTTAAAACTATTCATGTATATGAAAATAAATTAAAACAAATCTAAAATCATATGTATTTAATAAAATATAAATTCATTCAAATTCAATCGTTGATATATTTTGTTCATCAATATTGACATTTCGTTTTTCTTTATATATTAAAAATAATGTCCAGATAATTTGACCGATCGTTATAACAAATGAAATGATAACAATATAATGAATAATCGAAAGAAAAACTTCAATTGTAGAGATTGATATAAATAGACTCATAGTGATTATATAAACAACACGTCAAACGTTTGTTTAATGGTCAATAGAACAGTTATTACATAATTTATTGTCTATATTATATATATACGTATTGTGTTAGCGCCATGAATACTTACTTAACCGATCGATTGTTTATCTTAGTTTCTAATCCTACTAACAACAAATACAAAATAAAACAAATTCATTTATTGTTATATTCTAACATCAAATGGTTATATATTCGAAATGTTCTATAAATATTTGTTTTTCTTCTTTTTATTTCTTATTAATAATAGTTATGAATGTGATATATGGAAAGCAGCTGATTGTCCACAAGGACCATCAAAAGATGATGAAAATTTAATGAAATCTCAATTATATACTGAAGAACAATTACTTGCTTATTGTGATTCTGGTAAAGCATTTGCTGATTGTGTCAATGAACATTTACTTTGTTGTGATATGCGTACTGAATATGCAGCAGCATTAGCATCACTTGACATTCAACTTAAACGTAATGCATTACGTGTTGGAAAATATTGTACAGATTTTAATGAAACAAATCCAATACAATATAAATGTCGTACAACATTAAGAACAATACCAGGTACAAGATATCGTTCAACAACTGCAGCAACACCTGTGTGTAATTTAGAAAAAGTAAGAAGAAAAAGATTAATGAATAGATAAAGTTTTATTTTTCAATATAAATTAGGCTGGAAAACAATGTAGTCCAATTATTGAAAATCGTGTTCGTTTTGATCGTCGATGGTCGGCACAAGAAAAAGTAAAATGGTGTAAAGATGTTTATGAATATCATACATGTGCATTATCATATATAACAAATTGTACAATAACTCCTGTTGCTGGTGATGTCGCTCAATTGACTGTTTTCTTAGATTATATTGAAAAATCTGCCAATCGTGAATGTCCAGGTGGTCTATTTGGTTGTACAGAAAAATCGAACGATGATTCTCGTTGTCAAGATAAAATCAGTTTTTTTCTTGAAAAAAATGCATTAGCTAATGAAACGACAATGATACAAATATCACGGTTGACATTACATTTCGTGGTTTTTATATTTTATGATTTCATCAAACCAGAAATATGGTTTTTTTCTCACTGAGTTTTTTCGTTTGACTTGCAAATAGAAAATAATCTGACCAAAAAAAAAAAACAACGCGATGATATCAATGACATTAAATATCATTGAAGGTTAGATACATGCTATTAAATGGATAATCATATTTTATCATATATCATGTGCAACAAAAAACGTCTTTTTTCTTCCTCCGACAAATATTTTTATCCACACCGCAAATAAGATTTCTTTTCTTTCTTCGTAATAAGAACGAAAAATGTTTGTATTGGTGAAAAAAAAAAGAGAATGATCAATAAGTAAAGGTATCGAGCTTAATATGTATGAGATAGCACCAAAAATTCAATCAAATAACTGGAAGTACAATTAGTATGTCTTGGTTATAAGAAAATCTGAAATGTTTTGCTTTTTAATATCCTTGACTAGAAGAAAAAAGAATATTTCATATGCAATTTTTTTTTCATGTGTGCCCTTGTTTTTTCTCGACTGTTGTCATTCGACGTTTGTGATTCAAGAAAAGAAAAAAAAAGATGTTTACTTCTTTATGAAACAGAAAGAATAAGAAAAAGCATTAACAGTCGACACAATATTATGGTTACGAGAATTTTTTCTTCTCTACGAGAAAATGAGAATTTAACTGTTGAAAAAAACGATTCCAACAGTTTACATTATTATTCACCATATAATAACGTTTACATTTCTTGCGATCGACAACTCAAGAAAATACAAAATTATTTTCCATACCGTTCTGCAACTTATCAACGAATAAACGATTCTGACCAAACAGCATTTTTATTTATTAAAAAACAAAAAAAAATTCTCAATTTACATCCAGGTAGATTTTATGTACAACAAAAAACAAATATGAATGGTGAATCGCGTGTTCAAGAATATTGTCGATATAGAGATGCTCACAATAATGGATCAATAAACGTAAGTTATTCGTGTTTTTTTTTGTTTTTATTAAATATGTGATCGTGAGAAAACATTCGTTATACTCATACTTTGATAAATCAATAAGAAATATTTCTAGACAGAATTTCTTAATTTATTATTGACCTTTCATTATCAGTGCAAATCCCGATGAAACAGAGTCCTATTACAAAATGTATAAGATACTTGACTAATATTTATTTTGTTATTCATATTGATTGTGAAGAAAAATTGTCTTTCGATTTATAATGAAATTTGTATTAGACTTTAAAATTTCATATATTTTCTTTTTCGAATTTTTCTTTTTTAGACAACTGTTTTTGTTGATAAACATTTACAAATTCCTTGTTATTTACAAATTACAAAACGAAATGAGAATGAATATTCAAGATATAGAAATTCTAATGTAAGTTCATTTATTTGATAGAAAAATTTCATCTTAAAAACAATGTATATAGTTGTCAAGAGACAGATCAATAAATCGAACTGATACACGTTTAAAAACTCATTACAAATGTCGATCTTTAATTTATGATAGTGAAGCTAAAGTTAGTAAAAATAAATTATTTAATAATAAACAATTGATTTTATTTGCTTTTCTTTTAAAGCGTTTTAATGTATCGGATGATAAAGTATCTTGGAATGTTGATTATCCGGATTATAAACCTGTTGAATATACAACTACTAAAATTCAACGTAATCCAAAAGCTGATTCATGTGATCCGTTAGTCAAGTGTTCTTTTTTCTGTTTTTGTTTTTAAAGAAAAGAAAATTATTTATATGATTTAGTTTAGATCGAAAATTACTAAATTCAATCAAGTTGATAATAAAATCGATCGACGAAGTTTTACTGGTTTCTATTATATTGATCCGATAACTCAACGACCAAGAAATCCAATAGGAAGAACAGGCAGTAAGAAAATAATATATTTTAATCGATGAAAATTTACAACGATGATTGATCGTTATGGATTTACGCGAACAAATAGAAAGAAAGGATAGATTCTTTTTTGTTTGTTTTTGGAATCAAAGGAGAAATAATTATTAGTGATTCAATGACTTTAAAGGCTTTTTTTACTGAGTGCAATGATTAGTTTAGTCAAATTCTATACCCATTTCTAAATAACAACTTGACCTGTTTGTACAACGACAACGACAAAAAAAAACAGATACCATTTTGCATTAAAATAATTTTCATACTTTTGATGTCTTCGTGCCTCAGGTAAAAGAAAACACACAAAAAATGGCCCAAAAAAAAGTAAAAGAAATATGCTTATCTGGTGTTTACACGAACCTATAGAGATATGTCGGATCTTGAAATGTGCGACACTAAGTTTTTTTTTTTGTTCCGGCTATGATCAAGTCCTGGTAAAAATGTGCAAGTATATAAAAGCTTACCCTATACGATTTTAACTTTTCAAGCTTCCATTGAGAGAAAAATATTTCAGAATTTAATCTTATCACATGTAAAAAATTCTTCGATACTTCGTAAAAAATAATCTAGATAAAAATCTTGATCGGAATTCATTATAAAATTTACTTAAAATCTATTATTTTATTTTAAGTGACTGGTCGAGGTCGTCTATATCATTGGGGTCCTAATCATGCTGGTGATCCAGTTGTTACACGGTATAGATAAAATTTTGAAGTATTTTTCTTTTTTGTCGATTATTTTATTATTCTTTAGTTGGAAACGTGATGAAAATGGTTCGATAGTTTATCGTCGAATAAATGCACATTGTCATTTAAAGCCTGTTCTTGAATTTGTTGCTATTCGACGACGTGATACTAAAGAATGGGCTTTACCTGGAGTAAGAGATATTTTTACAAATTAATTTTTAATTAGTTTTATTATCCTTAAAAAGGGTATGGTCGATCCAGGTGAAAATGTTTCAAACACAGTAATGCGTGAATTTCAAGAAGAAGCATTACGTGATGGTCTTGATGAAAATCTAATAAAACGATTATTCTCAAAAGGTTATAAACTATATGAATCATATGTTGATGATCCTCGAAATACAGATAATGCTTGGATGGAAACAGTTGCTATGTAAGTTAAAATTCAAAAAAAAAAACACATAACAAATTAAAACTTTTAGGCATTTTCATGATGAAACAGGCCAATTAACAGATCATCTTGATTTACATGCTGGTATAAAATTTTAATAAACGAAAAAAAAATAGAATTCTCATCTATTTCGTTTTTTTCCTAGGTGATGATGCAGATAAAGTTGTTTGGTGTACTGTCGATCGAACACTTCAATTATATGCGTCTCATAAAGATTTTCTTAAAGCAGCTGTTGATCGTTTTGATGCATTTTGGTAATAGAAAACAATATATATATATGGCATGTAATACAACATTTTATTCTTGGCAAAAAAAAAAGAAAAAGATTAATGCATGACTAGTAAAATGAGATATACAAATTTAATCATTCTCATCATCCGTATCAGATTTATTATTTTCTTGTGTTTGACTATCTCGTACGGTGTTAGTTTTAACGCATTCAGCTGATGAAAGATAACCAGATCTGTGAATAATTAAAATAAAATAAAAAAATATACATTAAATAGAAAAACTTCAATAAAAACAAAATATTTTACTTACTCTTGTAAAAAACTTTCAACATCACTAGCAACAAAATCATCACCTAATTTATTTGTTATTGAAATAAATGATGAAAGTAATTCACCACCACGATAAACTAAAATTGCTGGACAACCATTTTTAATCTAAAGAGATTTAAAACAAAAAAAAATCAAAGATTTATAAAACAAGTAGTAAAACAACAATCAACATACAAAATTATGACTGAGTTGGGCTTCAGATGCTTGAATTCGACAAAACTTCACAAATGGATATTGTTCAGCAAGAATTTGAATACATTTATTCATTGTTTTACAACCAATTGCTGACTATTAAAGAGAAAAAAAAGAAAATAAGACTTCAATCGAGTCTAAAATTTTCAGACTGGATCCGGGTCGAATTCGACAGGTAGGAGACATAAGATATATTTATTCAGTATGGAAAATCTATGTTTAAGATGAAAACAGATCATGCTGACATACTTATATCAATGGGATTCAATAAATGAATCAACCATATGGGAATAATTGTCTCCTGATTGAATTTATAAAACTTAATCGACTGATATATTCATTAAATAAGAACAAACCTGTTCATAAACATGTACAATAATAGTAACATTTTTATTTTCATTATCAATTGTATTTGTAAAATTTTCACGATTTAAATCAATTTGTTTGCCAAAACGAGGACTAAAAAAATAAAATAATTTCTTGTATTTAATTTATATTGAATGAAATTTTTTTTTCTCAATATTTAAGATTGAAATAAAAACAAAACAAAATACTACATACGCATTTAGTAATCGTTGTTGCATTTCATGCATCAATTTTGCTCGATATTCTTTAAAAAATTCATCCTCAGCATCAAAAAATTCATCTTCAAGAGCTTCTTGTTCTTTTTTCTTTGCTTCTTCTTCATCCAACTAAATAGAAATCAAATATATATATATATATTTACAATATCAAGCCATGTAATATGACAATTTATGAGCGTGTATGCTTTATGTGGGTTCATTTAACTAAGATTTGTCCAAAATATTTGATTCGTTTCAGAAAAATAGTTTTAAGTGTAATCGATAATGATACTTTTTTAACGATTTAAGCTACTTTTTTGACCAGCTTGTAAAATTCTCTCATATCATAATTACTCTATATAAGAAAACTAATTATCATACTCTTCATTTATATCGGATATAGTTATCTACTAAATGATGTGATTCGTTTTCGTTTGAAGACTGTTAAAGTGTTTATGTTTGGTTGACTTACATAAGATCTACATGTCATTGTTAATTTTTTAATTAATGTTACTTTTTCTTTTTGTTGTTCCTCTCGTTTTTCTGTTTCCAATTGTTTGAAACGTCTCCAATCTTCAATAACACCTTTAGGTCCAGTCTAAAATTAAAATTTTTCAAATTTTATAATCATCTTCAAAATTATTTACATTTTCAGTAATACCACTTGATGAACTCGATGGTTTTAATTCTGATTCTGGTATGAATTTTGTTGTTGATTTTTCTTGTTTATTACCATGATCGGAATCATTATCTTACAACAAAAAAAGACGGATTATTAGAAGAAAAAAATACCTTAATCGTAATTTATCAATTTACCTTTGTCATCTTCATCTTCGGATGAACTACAATAATTTTGTAATTTCTCACCAAGCAAACGATCATCTAAACTCACCATGTTTTTTTCTTCTCTGTTTCGGACTAAATTATTGATCGATTATCAGCATAGCATAACAACATAGATGTCCTTTATCATTGGTTAATTTCATCAACAAATCATATTTAATTTGTCAAAATAATAAACAAAAGAGAAGAGTGGTCATTGTCCATTTCGATGAATTCTTTTCTCTCTCTCTGTTTTTTTTGTATGTTATTTACAGATTGAATACAAATGACGACACGTCGTGGAATATTTTTCAATTCAAAATCCCGTTCAGTGGATTCAAATATAGTACTTGATAATAAAAATCCATCACCAACTAATATCGAATCATCAAATATTATAATAAATGAAGATCAAACTAGTAGTAGTAGTAATAGCCAAAGTTCACCACCAAAATTACCAACAATGTCAACGGGAATTGTTAAAAAAAAATTAATTTTAAAAAGTACAAAACGAACTTTAACTAAAACAATTTATTCAGGACCAAGAAAAATCTTTAGTACAAGTTATAAAGTTCGTTTTTATCTTTGTTTTATTCATATTAATAAATATATATTTCTATATTTTCGAAATCTTTTTGTTTTTAGGCAAATCGAGCACAATTAAATCATAAAGCATTTTTTGGTAGTGAAATAAATGAATATGATTTAGATAATAATGAACAAACATCAACAAATATTTGTTCATCACAACCAATTGTTGAACAAAGAACAATATCAAAAGCTGCATTAGTTGTTAAATCAAAAAGTACAGATAGTATTCGTACAACAACAACGACAATTATTGAAAATGGTAGAACTAAACTTATTTGTCCACGAGATCAAAAAAAGGTAAGTTTTCTAAATATAATTACTAAATTAAATATTTTCTTTTCTTGAATGCGATTTTTAAAAGATGTATACAATTGTACCAAATATTCGACAACCAGCTACATGTGAAGAACTTGGAGAAACGCAAAGTTATATTGACGATATGGAATATCTTTTAGCAGGATTTCAAACTGATAAATTACTTGGTAGTCGATGTCTTAGGTATGAATATTTATTCATTGATGTATTGTTTACATCGACTTCATTGGAGTGAAATGAAACTTTCAGAGATAGGGTATGCTATCCAATCATAATAGATATTGTCTAACTATTCTATTTTAAATGATAGACTACTCACAGGAAAAACGACGGGATTCCCAAACTGTGCCCTATAGTGGAACTTCATTTGCAAACCGAGTTCTATATTTCTGAAACTTTCGTTTTTGGTCATTGGAATTTAACCAAGAAAAACGACCTTGAAGGATTTGGTATGACATTTACAACCGTCCCTATCTTAAAAAAAAATTTCAGGGATGATCCAACTTGCAAAGTTTTTTGAATCGCTAGCTATGCTTATAGACACAAGCTCTGGAAAAAAGTACTCTATACTTTCTCGCCTTTCCAGGATTTCTGGAGAATAGCTCATCAGAAACTGAGAGTAGACAAATTTTCTCGTATTACTTTCTGTCAGAATAAAATGATTGAAATTCTGAGAGCATATCTCAAATTGTTTAATTAGAATATTCTTTTGTAAAACCTAGAAACAGTAATAATAATGAACGCGGTACGATTGAGATTTTAGCTATATTCGGGTAATAAATTTCTTTTTCTTGACTGTGTCGGGTATTTTTTTTTTTTTGAAATATGAAGTTTCATTTCATTGCTGTTCTTTTTTCCGACGTTCACATTGTTTAAAAGACACTTGTCTGTTTTCGTCTAGTGACCGGTGCGTACGCATTAAAAGATAACAGAGCTTTGTAAAAAAAAAATGCCCTTATATTCGTATAGTATCACTCATTAAAGAATTTTTTTTTCAGATAGAATTTAAATGAATAGGATATGGGAAGCAAAGTCGAGTATATTGTGACCTGTGTCTGACCTCATTCCTTGAGAATAGCAACGTTGATATCTTTATTAAGAAACCTTATTAATGAGTAAAGCCTATTTTACTGTTGAGTTAAACAGAAGATAAACTGTACAGCGTAAATTTCTCTTAATATTCGGTGAAGTGTTGGCAAATTTTTGCTACTTAACACTGACATAGTAGTATAATAAAATATACTACTGAAAAATTGTTTAGGTTCACTTTCAGTTTTTCATGGCAATCCTACAATTGTCTTTTAATATATTTTTAGTGCTGTTAAATTTGCTGAATTATGTGTTAAACCATCATTTCGTATGCATTTACGAACTGAAAGTGCACTTGAACGTGTACTTGATTTATTAAAAGATGCACCAGAAGTACCAGTATGTGTCCTATATTTAATTTTATATTTATTTATTTTCTAATTTTTACTATTTTATTTTTAAAGAGTTTAAATCTATGTACAGCTTTTATTTTATATGTCCTATCATCAGATACATTAACATCAGGAATAAATCTTAGTACAGTACATTTAATGATTGAATTAGTCCATAAAAGTCGATCAAAAGATTTTATTGATGATGAAGAATATAAAAAAATGAAGCAACGTATATTAACAATTATTAATCAATCATTACAAGATGATATTTTCTATGAAGATCGATTTAACGTAAAATAATAAATAAAAAAAATGAATAATTTTAATAATAAATTTCAATTATTTTTTTTATTTGTTTGTAGACATGTGATATTATACTTGAAACATTTGTTAATATATCTCGTAATAATTTAAAAGAATGGTTAAGAAATGAAGCACGTACATCGAATGCTTTTGATTTAATGATTGATGCTAGTAAGAAAAATTTTATAATTTCTTTTTTATAATTTATGTTTTTTACAATTTAAGTTAGTTTAATTGTACAAGATTTATCAAATAATGATTTTGAATGTTATGCATTGTCAGAAATTTTAATACGTTATCGTAAAGTTTGTCGATATATAAATATGTTAGAAGAATTTTGTGGTGATAATTCAGAACAAACATCATCCGCATTATCGCCAAATATTGATATTAATCGAGTATATATTGCACAATACAATCAATATTCATTATTTCATTCCTTATCAAAGTAAATATTTTTTTGAGGCCATCTCCACTCAGAAATAAAC